GTTTGGTTTCTGCAGGTTAATCCTGAAGTGAGATGCGTGAAATGGATGTATAGGTGCAAAAGTTGATTTCATTATTATTTTTTGATTGTTTAATTGATTTGTAAAAGATGATTTGTAAATGTTGATTTGTTTAATTGATGTGTACATAATATTTGTGCTTGTTTAATTGATTGAAATGTAATAGTTGATTTGTTGATTTCAATCTGCATTATGTTGAATGCAAAACAGACTATCGCAACGCGGAAATGACTATCGCAACGAGAGAATTCGCAATGCGAAATGAAAATCGCAACGAGTGAATCGCAATGCGAAAATGAAAATCGCAACGAGTGAATCGCAATGCGAAAATGAAAATCGCAACTCGAAACTAATTTCACGTTGCGATTTTCATTTTCGCATTGCAATTTTCATTTTGCATTGCGATTCTCTCGTTGCGATAGTCATTTTCGATTTGCGATAGTCAATTCCGCATTGCGATAGTCATTTCAGTGTTGCGATAGTCATATTCGCGTTGCGATTTTCGCGTTGCGATTTTCACGTTGCGATAGTCAAATGAATGTCTAATAAGTGATAACAACTGAACTTATCATAGCAATGTTCAAACTCAAGTTACTAATACATGCCTAACTGAAAATGTTAAAAGTTCACACATAATATACACATAATACAACGTTTGCATTTAAAAATCACCTAAGTTAACAGTCCCAAAAGGTGAAGCCGGTTGTGATTGGGATTTTGATGAGGATCCATATTTTGGTAGAGGAAAAGATGATTGTGATGGCACTGGTGATCCACATGTCAACCTTGTATGACCACTTTCCTTGCACCAACTACATGTCGATCTCTTATTCTCTTCACCCTTAGACGGTATACGATCGTGACTTTTTGGTCGGCCAGGTAGCCTTCTGTCCATGGCTGGTGGCAAAACTGTTTGTAAGTCATCTGGTATGTCCCACTCAGAAGGATGTGGAATAGGGTAGACAATCTCGCCATAAGTCTGTCGATATACTTCTGTAGTGTAGCAATCCATAGCGTATGCGCTTGAATCATCTTGGTTTAGATGAAGAGAAACTTCTATAACATGGCCACACGGATAACCAGATGTTTGCCATTTCATACAACTACACGTCTTTGCATTTAAATCGACAAGCCCATTTAAGTTATTATCCAGTACTTCAAACAAAGTGTTTGAACATGGTTCAACTCTCCATGACGTTGACTTCACAACACGTTTCGTTATCTTTTTTTCTGTCCATGGTGTAACACGATGTTCCAATGTTCCTGTAAATTTAAATAAATAATACTTAGTAAAATATATGATAAGTTACGAATTTAAAGAAATAATACCTACATGGTTTCTTTTCTTGTAGTACCACTGTTGAATAGAGGCTCGAAAAAACTCCATTAACATAGTAATGGATAATTTCCGGGAATGACGACTTAGAGCGTTGATTGATTCTGCACTATTAGACGTCATGAAACCATATCTTGCTCCAAGTTGATATACTCTTGACCATCTTTCAAACCCGACATTTTCTAGTGTTTGAGCACACTGAGGCAAAACACGTCTTAAACAGTTTATATGCTTATTAAAATCCACTTCCCGATAAGCTTTTACAGCCTTCCAGTATGTCCATTTGTGATTTTTTATACCAGCAGACCTTGATTTTAGATTTCTATACAAATGAACACCACAAAGTCCATGAAAAGCATCTGGGAAACACCTTCTAACAGCGTTGTCAATTGAGTTTGCCCTATCGGATATGATTGTCAGATTGCTAATAGGACCTATACAATCCCTAAGATGCCCCATAAACCATATCCATGAATCAGAGGTTTCAGATTTGCCAACCCCGTAAGCTATTGGCAGTATCCCATTGTTAGCATACATGGCTACTGCTAATAAGTTTACTCCAAGGTATCAACCTTTTAAATGTGCTCCGTCAACTATAATAACTGGGCGCATGCAATTAATAAACGAACGAATCTACAAAATCATATACACAAGAAATATAATCATTTAAATGTGAAATGCATGTAACTAACAAAAATGAGTCAACAAAATTATATTGATTTACTAACCGCAGCACCAATGGCGATAAACACCAACTCAAAGCGTCCATCTCTATCTATTTTGATATGAGTTACCGACCCAGGATTTTTCAGCTTTAAATTGTGACAATAAGCCGGCAGTTGGGCAAACGATGCTTCTGGCGACCCCCTCAATAATTCCAAGGCATAACATTTGACTCTCCAAGCTTGAGAATATGAGATACTAATCTTGAACTGAGCATTCATGTCAGTCATAATTTCATGTCCCCGATATACCCTACCATTCAAAAACATTAACTCAGCCAGAAAACCACCCAACACCTTTTTGTTTGCCTGTCTATGGTGAGGAAAAACTTGGGTTCTTGAACATGTATGTTTATCAATAAAAGTCCTAACTTGAAACATTTCGCAATCTTTTATCCTCTTTGCAATCATACGCCACATACAGTTTTTGTCAATCATACACCTTGTTTCTAAACGATCTTTGCTTGATTTGTTAACTTTTAGTTGATAGCCATCTTCCACACATTTCGTATACAAAGCTATCTTCAAGTCTTCCTTTGTATCAAAACAATCATCTTTCTTGATACGAATAATTTTTGTGTAACAATCAACTGCTATCTTTACCAACTCTTCTTCCGGTATCTGAAGTAATTCTGACATATTCCAGTTATACTCCCGTGGCATTTTCTTCAGGGACTTTTCTTTGGGGATTTCTTCTTCTTCTTTTTCTTCTTCAGTGTTATATGAATTACAGAATGGATGTTCAACATGTTCATTTACAGTCGTAGCTTCCTCCTCATTATCATCAACAACATGTTCCTCGGCAACGGCTGTTTCATCATCAAAATTCGGGTATTGACCAATATCAAAATCATTACACGCAGGGTCTGTTTATTCTTCTGAAAAATCATCAAAATCCGAGTATTGACCAAGATCAAAGTCCGGGTATTGACCAAGATCAAATTTCGAATACTGACTAGTACTCACAAATTTTTCTGTTGGCTCATCATCGTCTAACTGGTCAATACGAAAACCGGAATTTGGTTTTGAAAGTTGATTGGGATTTGGATTAGGGAAAGGTTGTGGGTTTTGAGATTGTGTTTGGTATTGGAAATGTGGTGAAACAATATTTGCTTGGTGATGAAATTGTGGTGGAACCATTAAATTTTGAGCACCATAAACTGGGGTTGAAAACTTAGTTGATTATTACCCGCTACTGACCCAACTTCACTACTTCTAGGTTCAACAACATACAATGTAACATCATCACTTGAAACACTAATGTAAGCAATGAATCGTTCAACATCTTCATTGTCGGTTAACAAATAAACTTTACCATTTCTCTGATAAGATAGCCTAAATCCACTTAGGGGCTCTAAATTCAATTTATTTGCAACACGTAACATTAGAGTTTCATAAGTTAACTTTTTTAATGACAGTTTTAGTTGAAGATTCATGGGTAAAGGCATATATTGTAAAACACCATGAACATTCTCCCATGACCCTCCGAAACACAAATCTATCCAAACATAATCAACATTAGATGATTTCATTATTGTAAATTAATTTACTAAACAAACGAGCTGCGAAACTAAAACCTGTTGCCGAATGGGGAAGGATGTCGTTGGATATAGGAACGGATGTCGCTGGAGAGAGTGATAGATGGAGATGGAATTTGTTGCGATTTAGGGATTTAGGTTATGAGTTGCTGCTGTTGCGTAGTTATATACCCAAAACATTTGTGTTGCAAAATTAAAACCTGTTGCGAATTCAGAAATCGAGTTGCGAATTTGAAAACTGATTTACGATACCGGAGATCGCGTTGCGAATTATCGATCGCGTTGCGATTTTACGTATTGTCGTTGCGATTTTACGTATTGTCGTTGCGATTTACGGATATGTATTGCGATTTACGTATTCTCGTTGCGATTTACAGATACGCGTTGCGATTTACGTATTCTCGTTACGATTTACAGATACACGTTGCGATTTATGTATTCTCATTGCGATTTACGGATACGCGTTGCGATTTTACGTATTGCCGTTGCGATTTACGGATACGCGTTGCGATTTTACGGATACTCGTTGCGAAAGTCAGAATCGCGTTGTGATTTATATGTTCGCGTTGCGATTTTCATATTCGCGTTGCGATTCTGGAAAATCGCAATGCGAATTTGTACTATCGTATTGCGATTCTTCATAATCGCGTTGCGATTCTAGGAACTGATTTGCGATTCTGGAGATCGCGTTGCGATTTTTATTTCGCATTGCGATTTTGTTGGTCATTTTGGTAAATTCAAAAAAAATTGGTTAAAATCATATATTATAAGGTATTTTTGGTCACTGAGGCGATTTTCTTTTTTAAAATGGTTTTAGTTTCTTGTTGGTTTGTATGGCAACTGAGACAAAGAAGAAACAGTTTCAATAGATTTAAAATTACTATGTGAGGGTGAGACGGTGGTGTGGGAGAGGGAGAGGGTGGGGTTGTAATTTAGGATTAAGATTTAGTGTAACATTTAAGATTTTTTTCATTTTAAATTATTAATAAAAATTATATATCATCTTTATATATTAATAAAAAAGCCATGTATATGTTGTTAAAGAGAAAACGGATAAAAAATTAATATATAAAATTTAGCGATTAAATTAAAAGAAATTAACAGTATATTAAATGAAATAAGAGAAAATAAAATTTAATGATGATTAGTGTAATTTACCCTAAAAAGATTTAATAAATATAAATATTACGCATATTATTAAACAGATATTTTACGATATTACAAGCATTTTAAAATGTAATATAAAAATATTAGATATTTATTTTTAAGAGAGATACTTAAAATTAATTTAAAATATAATTTCAACGCTTATTGTACGTTAAGCCAAATTATTTTATCAAATTGTAATAATCTTTTAAGCAATCAAACGGCCCTTGGGCGTTGGATAAGTAGGGAAGCGAACACAAGTTTTGGGGTTAATTTTGCATAAGATGGAAGGGGAAGAGCAGAGATCAATATGGAACAAAGAAACAGTGCCGAAAGTGATGAAAATAGTGATCACAAGGCTTTCTCAAACAGACATCATCTCTCTCCTTCTTGTCAGCCCTTGGCTTCACCGCACTGTCATTTCCCACCCTTCTCTTTGGCTTGTACTTTTCTCCATTCTACTTTCCCTCTTTTGTTTCAACTTCTCATTGCTTTTTCTGATCTGGGTACTTCTTGTTTTTCCGCTAGTCTATTGATTTACGCGAGATGAATAATGCTGGAGATCGACTCATAGCTGCTCTTTCACTGGTTTGTCTTTCTCTATTATTTTTTTACCTTTTTAATTTGTGAAGTTGTAAGTTTGGGTTTTTAATCCATCGAGTCTTGGTGAAATTTAGGTTTTGTTCGCAAATAGATTTTTAGAAATAAAGTATCCAAATGAAATGTTAAAGGTTTTTTCTTTCTTTCTTTGTAGCCTAGATACCAGCATGTGAAGCAAATAAGCCTTGAATTTGCACAAGATATAGATGATGGTCATCTAGAAGTCATTAAGAGCAAGGTGAATTGTTGTGCAGTTCGTTCTTTTAGTTTTATATGATTCTTTTATGTTGATGAACTTAGAAAGATACGGGGTAGATGTTTTAGTTTGCATTTAGATGGAATTCGTGCCATTGTGACCTTAGAACTAAACCTGATTACAAAGTATATGTTTTATGTTCTGAATATGTTGATAGATGTAAAAGGCTGTGAGATATTATTGGCTATGTTGTCGTATCTCCAATGAGTTCATTTCACTTATAGTTATCTTGCTTACGAAGTGTGGTTAATCGATACATGGTTTATTATCTCCTGAGTTTTTCTTTATAACATTTTAAGTATTTCAGTGTTCGGAATCTCTTCAAGACCTTGAGTCTTTAAATCTGAATGGCTGCCAAAAGATATCTGACGAAGGAATTGAATATATAACCAGTTGTTGTCCAAAATTGAAGGTTTTCTCTATCTATTGGAATGTAAGGTATTTTTCCATTTCCCTTATTTATTATGGGTTTATTTTTATGTTTTTATAAGCAATCTTTCATTAATTAATATTTCTAATGCATCTTTTCATGGGAGTAAACTTCAGGGTTACTGACATAGGTGTGAAGCATCTGGTGAAGAACTGCAAGTATATTGTTGATTTGAACTTTAGTGGCTGTAAGGTATTTGATGACTTACTGGATACAGATTCCACCTTTTGTTTTACTGTAATATAAACATCAAAACTATTTAGTAATTAGCGATTGAGGGAGACACAGATTAGACTCAACATGCTACACCTTTGTTTTGTATGTCCTGCAAGGCCTATCGCTTGAGGGTTGCTTAGTATAAAATTTGTGAAACCTTGTGTTTCTAAAATGGATTTTGGGACAAATTCAGAGTGGCAGTGAGGGTAATTCAAGGGAAAAAGATGCAGTTAGGGAAAGCTTAGGGTTAGATGATTTATAATATATAAAATCAAGAGAATTAGAGGAAAAGTATAATAGACTGGAGGCTGCACAAGAGATACAATGATCTATGATTTGAATCACATTAGAGTGGATACTGAAAAGAGATTGCTACATCCATTTAAATGTTTATGCAGATAAATAGTAGCCTTTTGGCATACAACTCTACTGTGAAACTGTAATAATTTGGTTTTCATCATTTTTCATAGTTTATGATTTCTACATTGTAGTCATGATTCCGTACTGCAAGTCAATTTACGGTATCCTTTTTTTTCTTTGAATTGAGTACTTTGACGTGACAAATGCAGCAATTATCAGACAAAAGTTTGCAATTAGTAGCTGACAATTACCAAGAGTTAGAATCATTGAATCTGACTAGGTAAGTAAATCTGCTTTGCAGGTTTTACTGGGTGTTATTCATTATTATTTACAGACGTCTGGTGTGATATCTGCTTTTACATATCATATATACTTTCCTGCTACCTTTTTGGCTATCTTTTAGGAATTGTTTGTTTACAAATGTGGTGACTAGATGATGCTTATGTCTTGTGATTATTGGTTGCAGATGTGTCAAGATGACAGATAGCGGTTTGCAGCAAGTATTGACCAAGTGCTTCTTTCTCCAAAGTTTAAATCTTTATGCACTCTCCAGGTATGCTGCTATGTCCTCACAGTCTAATCTTTGGTCTTTTCATTATGGACTTATAACCCTGAACTTGTGTCACTAGATACTTCATTGCTTTGTGCAGCTTCACAGATGAAGCTTACAAGAAGATATCTGTTTTATCCCATTTAAGATTCCTAGATCTGTGTGGTGCCCAGGTAGAAAACTGAGGTTTCTGAAAAGGTTTTCTCAGGATGCAGTTTGTGAAAATTGATACTGATGAAAATATTGATTGCCAGAATCTCTCAGATTACGGACTTACCTGTATAGCTCAATGCAAGAAACTTTCATCTCTCAATTTAACATGGTTAGTGAATTATCTCATATACATATCTGTATGGTAATCGGATACACTGTAAAAGTCGGCGTCTTTTTTTTTTTTAAATAGGTGCATACGAGTTACTGATGTGGGTGTCATAGCTATTGCTGAAGGTTGCACATCTCTTGAATTTCTCAGGTAAATGTTTATTTTGGAAGGAACGTGCCTGCAAATCTTGTCACCATTATCATCCAAACTTCTGTATAGCAATATTTTTCTTTCTTCAACAGGCTTTTGTTTTTATTGTCATAGATAGTAATTTAAAAAAGTAAGGCACTAGACACCCTTGTTTTCAACACTTGCTGAAGCTGTTGAAATATGGTACAGCATCGAGATAAACTTAGATCTAGCAGGCCTATTTCCGTAGGGATATGGCACCATGGTTGCCTTTGTGCTCTCCAACCCTCGTGGTAATTCTTGCCAAACTAGGCATTATGAGTCTCAGACTCGATTGCAGGACCTATAATTGATACCGAAGAATTGGAATGTGTATCATAAACAATCACAAATGAGAATATCTTGCCATTATGCTGTCAATCCATGACTCGGATGCATTGAATGAAATTCTTGAACTATTGTTATGTTATTAATGTATGGATAGTTCCAAAACACATTCAATATGCATTAAATTTATGGGCAACAAATAATTTCATATTGAAAAAAATGATAAAACAATCAATTGCATGCTATAATAAGCTGATGAGCAAGAAAATGTTATTTCTCCGTACTGCTTTTTATTATTTTTTGTCATTCAGCTGAATAAATTATGAGGAAGCCTGCAGACCTGAGAATGATTAAATTTATAAGCATATGAGCACCTGATGCTGATATCTTGATGATGCAATTTGCAAATGTCACACTCTGGCCTATAAGTCATTCACATCTAAAAGTTTTTATTATCGATGTCTTGCAGTTTGTTTGGGATAATCGGGGTAACTGACAAGTGCCTTGAGGCCCTTTCCAAGTCGTGTGCAAATACAATCACGACTCTTGATGTTAATGGATGTATCGGTATCAAGGTAAACGTCTCCTGTCTATAAACTATTGTGCTTGTCCTCTGCTTATTTATAGGAACACTATGACCGTTACTTTCTGATCCATTGTTGTAATCCTATCAAAGATAGATTCCCTTGCTTCTAGATGTTGATATACTCTTTGGTGGATGAGTATGCCCATGTTGCTCTACTTCGGAAATGGGTTCAGGGATGTGATCACCAAATACTCTGGAAAACTAGTAATATCTGAAATTATCTGTGCTAGACTTATACCAGTATCTGATACTCCAATCGAATCCAAATAACATAAGAATATATATCATTGGGTAAAGGACAATATGGAGTTCCTCAAATGTGAAGGGCACCAATAGAATATGATCTACTGGAAACTACTTTATTAGGGAGTGCTGTCTTTGTATGCAGTGTATCCTTTCTTGAACATGTTCAAACCCAAAAGTGGACTGCTATTTTTACATCACGATTCATGACACCATTGAGAAGTTTCATAACTCAAAATTCAAACTTTTCCTTCCTATGTGAATTACAAGGTTTGCTAATAATTCCCGTCAACATCTTTTGCTAAATCTATGATGATTTATTTTGCAGAGACGGAGCCGTGACGATTTACTTAAATTGTTCCCTTATCTAAGATGCTTCAAAGTGCATAGCTAATTTTTGTGCCCTTATCTCAGATGCTTCACAGTTCATAGCTAATCTGATGGTATGTTAAGTTTGAAACAGTTACATAATACATCTAAGTGATAAATGTTTGAAAGTTTTTATTGTTTTTTTGTTATTGAAGAGATAGAATTCATTGTCTTGTTGTAGACTTGTAAATTGTGATGATGATAGTTGAATTGCTTTTATATGATTCAAAGTTGAGATGTTCAATTTTTTTCTCAACTTATCCATGATTTTTTGTGGATTGTCTGCCCTGCCTGTGAATCCCAATGGTTGGCAAATTTTTTGGTTGCACTTCCTGTTTCTAGGGGTTCGTCCTGATTAATCCAGACTAACTTGGATTTCACACCTAGTTTTGGTGGGTGAGTCTCTCAACTGTGATTTTTTTGCATACACAAGTACTCGAACTCGAGACATACTTAAACGATATCATGTTGCTTATCACTTGAATCAATCTCGTTGATTTGGTTGGCATTTTTTGGAAAATGCTTTTGCATATGATTAGTTAAAGGTAGGCTTAATATAAAATAAAATGCATAAATTATACCTTTTTTTTATTTATGTATCTAAACTTTTTCGTCAATCGAGTTGTCTAATGTTACAAACTATCAGTTTAAGTGTCTCGGGTGTAATGATTATTAAAAAAATCTGTTAAATGACATTGTTACATTCATATAATTTAAAAAATATTATTATATTTAAAAAACCCTTAATTTCTCCTTTACTACTCCAGCCGTCCCTTCTCCGTGAAAACTCCTCGTCGACGACTATACCCTGATCTTTAACGGCAGCTACTGCATCCTTCTTCCTTCAATTAATGGATGTATGCAATTCCTCACCCACGCCGCCACGAATGGCAATTCATGACACTGCTTGGAATTCTTTCCATGCTTCACAAGCCATTTTGAATTACATTGGCCATTACATCATCGTCTGTTCTCAATTGGATTTGAATTTGTTGGGTTGTCTTTATCGTTGCTGGCAACAAAATTTCAACGGAGGAAAAAGGGGCTGAATTGGAAGGGACTAGGGATTTGAGTATTGAGATATTAGGGATTTAGGGAATTGAGGCGATGACAAGGGTCATGGCCAGGTCAGTAGATGGACGGTGATTGGTCGGTGACTGTTCGGCGGCAGCGTCAATGGAAGCAGAGGAGGCAGCGACGATTGGTGACATTAATTAGGGATTTAAAATTAAGTTTTTCAATATTTTGGGTTTTTTTTAAGATTTCCAATTTTTTGGCTTTTTCTAAAATTTTATATTTTATTTTATTTTAAATGAAATTTTCAAAAGTATATAAATGTGACATGTGTCACTAAATGATAACGTTTGTAATGCTAGACAGAAATACCCTCCTAAAATTTTTAAATTAATGTATAATTTAAATATCTTTTATATTTTCAATTAATAATCTATTTCCTCCTGAATTCTTTTAAAATGTTGCTTCCCCTATTGATATTTCAAATAGCTTTTTAAAGATATAGTGTAAACCTAAAAATTAAAATTTACTTAATGTACTTTTTAAGTGAAAATTATATTTTTAATACATTCATTATCCTATGCTAAATTTATTTTATAATTTATAAAATTTTAATTAAGATAATTATTATTTAGTAAATTATCTCTAACTTAAATTTTTTTTATTTCATGTCAATCATAATTTTTTAAAATAAAAAGATCATATATATCATCTATTAATTTGATGTTTATATATCATAATATTAAATAATTTAATATCATCTATTAATTTGATTTAATATATTTTAATATATCATATATATCATTTACATAACTTATTTGTTTCTCTCTTCACAAACACCTTTTAACATCTGCAATCCTTTTTTTACTCTCCAATTTCTCAATCTTTTCCAATTGAAAAAGTTAAAGATAAATGCAAAATGTAAGGGAAGCGTACAATTGCATGCTGGACATTTCTATTGAGGAAAAAAAATAGAATTGAAAAGGGAAAAGGCATAATAATGATTTTAACTATGAAACAAAGCTGTGTTGATATTACAAAGCAGCAGATCACAGTAAAAACATATATGGAGCATGATCTACCTTTGTTACAATTCTACCTTTCATCTCTATCCATCGGCTTCCTCTACCGTTTTCTTCACCATATTCCAACGCCTAAATAACAGTCACAATCTTTTAGGTCAGGACAGCCAGGATAGCCAGCTTTAGTTGTAATTGTATCGTGTTTAAAATCAAAGGAACGAAATACCTTAAGAGTGTCAGCGTCTAGGCCTAGGCACACACCGAAATTCGGCTAACAGAGCTATATGATCAGAGGACCACTCTGGAGAAGGAAGTGCTGTGTCTTTCCTCAAGCTATCCTCATCCAAGAGTTCCAATAACGACTCGACTGTTAATGAGTCCGCTGTGAACCACAAATCAAATGGGTCTTAAGCAACTGCAATACCTTAAACTTCACATCTAGCATTTAATTACACGAAAATCTCAAGACATTCATGAAAAAATAGATATTTGTTGTTTCAGAAAAGATAAACCCACCTGTGTAGAATATGTAGTCTAGGGTGCCAATAAAATCTCTCGTGCAATTCGTGAATAAAGGTTCATTGGTTGCAGGGTCCATTCTTCTCCTCTGTTGCTCTAGACCCAGACCAACACCTCTTAAAAAGGATGAGTAAGCACTAACCTGTACGAAAGAACTTTCAGGAGTTAATGCCATAGTCTATGGTTCACCACTTCTTTCAACTGAAGGTTGTTTCTTTTGTTCTCTCAAAACCAATATCGAAACATCATTAACAGTGATGATGGTAAGGCTAAAAACATAACCTCTGGAAGTAGTTTATTACTAGACAATAGTTTTACCAGTGGTAACTGATGAGTCAACTTGCTGTGAGGTCGCAAAATCGCAAGAGGATCTACCAATAAATCTGTATGCATTGGATCTACCTTTCCCATAGCAAGAAGTGAATGGGGTGCACTGCAGAACATTTGACGGTGCATTAAATACTGTTAAAGTTTGATGCCAATAAAGTGGATTGGGAGCACTAAATAATCTAACATGTAAACGATAACAGGTTTACCTTCCTGGAACTGAATTAAAATCCCCACAAACCAACATTGGAATGTCTGCACTGGCTGCTATTTTCTCTAATCCCTTCAGGAGAGTATGCACCTAATTCAACATTAAAAAGGAACAAAAATGAGTTCAAATTTTGAATTATAGAAACATGAGTAATTGTACATGTTAGAGAAAAATTAGAACCTGCCAGATTTTGACATCCTTTAGCTCTTGTGGAACATTAACATGTGTGTTTGCCTGTATTCCAAAACCAGGAACAGTAGGAAACAGTTACACGATGCACCTAGAAATTATGAAAGAGTTGCAAAGAATATCATCATTTAATCGAGTTACTTGCATAAATTCTAAAGAATAGCCCAAAATCAACTCAACACTTCCATATTGGAAGGGGGGGGGGTGTTCAAACAATCAAAACACAAAGTAATAATCAAACCAATCTTATCCAAAAAGGGAGTTGGCTGGTCATAACGAACATGGGGAAGTATCACAAACTCTGATACTTCAAAATTGCTATAATCTGATTGTCATTCACAAGCAAACTACCCTATTGACCTCGTTTTGTTGCAAAGCCAAAAAAAAAATATGACGGAGAGACAAGAACTCTCTGACACAAAGGGTTCTTACCATGTCATCTCTTCATAGATTGTCGTAGACAAATTGGCATGGCCTATAGAGATGTTTAGGCTCTAAACAAGTCTACACTAACCAATCCACCTACCAGGCCAATTGGCAGAGACTAGACCACTTCCAGTTTTATGAAACAAGCCATATGCTACTCACTCAACCCCAGGTAGACCATTTTGCAATTCTTTTCAGGTTGTATAGAACAAAAGCCGGGTAACATAGCCCATCACCAGTAAAAACATGATTCATATTTTTATCCTAAATATGCACCAAGGAAAAATTATGCAAATTACAGCAGATGATAATAGAGCAGGCTGGAGATATACATCATAGAAGAATAAAAAAATAACAATCCTTACCACACAAAGAAGCTGCCGCTTCCCAGGATTTTCAGCTCCCTGATTATTAAACTTTGCTTCCAAAACCACAATTAGTGCAACATTATCCTGCAGACAAAATAGAGCTTCTACGGTATCATTAGCATTAGAGAAATATTACCATAAGAGAATGGATAAAAATTGAAATTAGTTGTAAATATTCATTGCCTTAACCAAACGATTTAAAGCAGCTTTCTTCTGAGTAGTTTGAACAGCAACCTCAGTCAATGACTGAGCAGCCTTATTAAATTCAACCTGAAAAATACATGATTTACTTTAGCCCCACAAAAACATGTATACACACATATAACACGATAGAAATTCTCCCAAACCTCATATTTTTTAACATGTGAAAATCTCTCTCTCCTGAAAAATGTTGCACAGCCATCAATTGTATGGATATTTCCACTGTAAACCTGCATTATAAACAACATCAATTATACATAAAAGAGTAATATTATAAACCAGTGAAAAGAGAATCATGTAGTTCTTAAGCAACCTCATTTGTCTTTCTCTTGTATAAAGCTTGATATCCATGTTTGTCCAGTTCAGGGGCAAAAATTTCCTCAAAATGGTCATTTTGCACCTGCAAAGATGAGAACAATTGATATTAAGGTGCATCACCTAGAGGCCCAAAGGCAGTAATATGAGATGAATATACCGACAATTTAGGAATTTGAAAACATTGCTTCATGTTTCACTAAGATCTCTACTTAATTCTTTAAAACCTCAACCTATATTCTTAGAGAAAGTTAAGGCTAAAATAATTTTCTTTTAGAATTACTAACTACATGTATATATATATATAATCTAAAAAGGATTCAACTGAGCATAAACCAAACTCTAAAGTTAAAGACTGACGAAAGTGCATTTCAGAAATTGTCGAGCCAAAATATAATGGTAAACGTTGAACATAACAGAAATTATTTGCCATGCAATAAACTTCAAAGCTGCATTTTGGATCCAAATGAAACTTCTGAGAAGAGTAGCTATTCATCAAACATTAACCGAGTACTACCTCCTGAAGACAAACAATGTCTGCACGATAACCAACAATTTCCCGCAACAAATTCTGCCTACGGTATGGCCAAGAAAGAGCCCATGAAGGGCAATAACTGTATAACTC